ATATATATATATATATATATATAAAACTCAGGAATAAGCTGACTTTTGTGCAGCTGGGTGCAGGCTAAGAACGTAGCTTGGAAGATAATACCCTCCTGTCTCCGGGGGTCTGTGGGCCAAGGGGCTGAAGCTGCTGCTACCCCAACTGTACAGCGCTGAGCAGGCTGGATGAGCGTCGACTCGTGTAAGAAGCTTTGGCGGACAGACGAGTGCTCGGCTGACAGTCACTGGGGATTAGTTCTTTGCGCAGAGCAGGCATAAAGAGACTGGCTGTAAAAAACGATTTCTCTCCCCGTCCTTCAGCAGTGGCCCTTTAATCTGTCTCTCCCTCTCTTTCGCAATCTCCCAATGTCTGGCAAAGAGAAACTTGCAGCCCTGCATTGCTGACAAGAAGCTGCTCTCAGTAGAGCAACTACTGTGAAAATTTTCATCATAGAGGACTGATGAACACATTGGATAACAACTGTAAGTTCATGGTAGCAAAAAATCACTTGTACTTAAGACTTCTAGAGTGAATTGAAAAAAGTCATTTCACTGATCTTTTTTTTAACCTCAAAGCTCTATATATGTCTCAATGCTCACTTACTGAATTAGTCATTATTCATTTATTTTGAAAGATGTTTTTTTGTGCCACTCTAAACAGGCTTGATCATTCATTCTGAAAGAGTTTTGGAAATGTTTTCTAACATAATAAATACTCCCCTCCCTGTGGATCCTCAGCCCACATACTGTTACTGCAGCAAATATTTCAGGTTTGATTTCTTTATTTTCCTCATGTACAATGCTGATTTATGGGCCTACTGAGGGAACAATTAATATTTATAGTTTACCCTCATTTATACTAATGGAGCTGTGTGAAAATCTTCTGTAAAACTGAGGTGAATGTAAAAGGTACTTCAACTACACAGAAGTACACTCCCCAAGGACTACCAACCTTTACTAATGTGTGAATAAATTCTTGCAGAAGATCATATTTGGTACATCTGTCCGACATCTATCCAAAATCATCTGCAGAGACTGCCCATAAGAAAGAAGAATCATGTCTCTGTAGTTTCTCCTAGACAGCAATGAGATCAGATGAAAAAAACATCTTCTTCTTCTGCTGCTCCAGTATTTTACCTATGAAAAAATCCCAGTAATATCCTCTTCAATTTTAGTAGAGATCTCAGATTTTCCAACATAGAAACACTCATGTTTATCTGCAGTTAAAACCTCATTGCTACTTTATCTCTCTTGTATCTCATCTCATTTTTGTCTAATGTTATTTGTTCTAAGGAATTTTAGGAGAATCACAATTAAGTCTCCTGAGCCATCAAAGGGCAGCCTTTGAGCAATAAAACTTTACTTGGGAAGAACAACAAAGCCATAACACTGCTGCATCACTGTTTCAAGTATGTGGTGCCATAACCAAATTCTTTTTTTTTTAACCAATTTTTTTTTTATAAATACTATACACTATATGGCCAAAGATATGTGGACACGCGACCATCACATCTGTGTGAGCTTGATGGACATCTCATTCCAAAACCGTGTGCATTAATATGGAGTTAGATAGTAAAGCATGATTTATTACTCTAGAAAACATGTTTCCAGTGCTTCAGAGTCCAGTGGCAGCATGCTTTACACCATTCCTGCTGGCATTGCTCATAGTGATCTTAGGCTTGTGTGCAGCAGCTCAGCCATGGAAACCCATTTTATGAAGCTCCCTACACACAGTTTTTGTCCTGATAACAGGCGATTTTTACGTGCTACATGCTTCAGCACTCGGCAGCCCACTGTCAGTTCGCGTGGTCTACCGCTTCGTGGTTGAGCTGTTTTTCCATTTCTCAATAACAGTGCTTACCAGGGCAGATCTAGCAGTGCAGAAATTTCGCAAACTGACTTGTGGCAAAGGGGGCATCCTATGACAGTGTCTTGTTTAAAGTCACTGTGCTCCTCAGTACAACCCATTCTGCTGTTAATGTTTGTCTGTAGACAGTGCATGGCTGTGTGCTTGATTTATTACTCCTGTTATCAAAGTGTGGCTAAAACACCTGAACTCAGTAATAGCAAGGGGTGTCCACATACCCATGTAGTGAGTATGAAGAGTTTCATTCCAAAACGCTGTATATTCCAAGTAGTCTCATTCCAAAATGCGTTTGTAACATTTTGAACAGTTGGCATATAATTGAAAACATTTGCATTTCTCTAATAAATGTAGTATTAATCATAAGGTCACACTTTATTTGGATGGACCCCCTTAAATGATCTACAGATACCTAAATTTTTAACTAATTCTCTGGTGATACTCAGTGATTACCAACAACATTCAGGTTGGGCTTATGTTTAGGAGTAGGTGTAGGTTTTGCCTTGGGTTTAGGGCTAGGTTTAGAATTAGGGATAGTTTTGATGGAATCTTTCACGCAACTTCAAGTTCTGTTATATTTAATAGATATTTATTTGAATGTCACTTAAAGATAGACTGAGCATCTACAAAGCATCTACAGTGGACCATCCAAATGAAGTGTTATCAATCATAATGGTATTGATGTGTAGAGCCCACTCACAACAATGTATATCATGAAAAAAGATGATTATTTAAAGTAGTGTTTAATGTGTTTTGCAATTAATCCCTTATATATTAAAATCCCGTATATATTAAAAAAGCTACTGAACAATTCCAAACCATGGATTCCCTCACATTTTTGCTAAGAAGGAGGGTCAGTGACCGGTATTAATAAGGTACAAAAAGAGAATGACCTTTTTTGGGACACGTGTAGTGGCTTCTCTGACTCGTTTCAGCCAAGAGGCCCACTTTCTTTTACTCAGATGTCAGGCATGCACAGTTTCCAAGGTGATTGCTATCTCTTATAGCATACCTCCAGCGACTGTTAGCACATTTTCACTCTCTATTCTCACTATCTGTTACAAATACGTACAAAATTGTTGGCTTTACTTGGTTAAGTATATGTACTTAGTACATATTGTAAATTACAATAATAATAATTATAAATATAAAGTCAAGGGAAATCAGGGCTTAAATATAAAGGCAAGCAGGAATCATTGTGGTCTAATCACATTTCTGCAAGTCTCCATTTTCCAATTACTCTGACAGAGCTTCCCCTCTGTTGGCTTTTTTTAGGGGTTAAATTGAAACTTGAGAGGTGATGGAACTCTTCCTATGTTTAATAAAGTTAGTTAGCTAGACTATACACATTGACAGGTTGACCTACACCATGCACACATCACATCAACTAGCTAGCTAGCTTACTCCATTTACATATGAAGAGGGTTGAGTTAAAGATAAATTAATTTGATTTGAAGTGATTTAAGTGACTTCATATTTCACACAACTCTTTATAAACCATTCTCCAGAAGTTGAAAGTTTACTCACATTACAGGTAAACCATGGAGAATATAGGTGGCAATATAGGAGTTTTACCTTGAGAGTTTTGAAACACCGGATACCAGATTGTTCCAGACCAACTTAAGCTCTAGCTGTCTTCACATGACAGTCAGTTTGTTGACAGTCTGGCAGTGCCTGGAGTGGGACATATGGCTGGAAGTAAAAGATAAACAAGCTATTGAAAGCACACTAAAAACTCCCAGTTACTGGCTAGATCAACTCTCTGGCATTCAATTCTTTAAAAAGAATAACCAAACAAACAAAATAGGACCCACAAGTCCAAGAGAGAAGAGAGAAAGGTCAGTGTGCCTTCTGAAACTAGGTCTATTAAAATCGACATTTCTGTCAGCTTGATGGAAGATGGGTCCTCATTTATTACTGATCAAGCAAAGAAGGGCAGGTAGGGAATAGACTGTGTGGATAGTTTATTCACTCCTCTCTGCTCTGTGAAATGAGCCAGTCAAGCCTCTATCTGCAAACACTCTTCTTTTAAAAAAAATAAAAATACAGCCGTCAGCCAGCAGAGCGTGATGATTCTCAAATATGGACACATTGCTTCGGATGGCACTGGGTGTCAGACCGAGGGAGGCGAATATTACTGGACTGGACTGAGAGAAAGCCTGATTTATTGGTTAGCCACTAGCACTCTATATTTCACAAGGTGAATGTGCCCTCCCTACAGACTGTAAAAAATCCAGGTGTTCTTCTGCTTTAATGTTAGAGGCCCAGGAAGCATGCAGCAAAGATGAAAATTAAATCCCTCAGGGCCTACAGTCTGCTCTCTTTCACAACCTTACTCTTCTATAAATGGCTCTTCATTATCAAACCTGTTTGGTGCTATTTTAATATTACTGTTTGATCAGACAGATGCTTGCAAAATAAAGGTGAAATATTTATAATGTATTATGAGTAAAACGTAAAATTTAATTGTCTTAATAGATTACAGTGCAAATGTTTGCACCATTAAGCAGTCAACACACACACACACACACACACACAAACACCCAGACACACCGCTCCTGGACTTTTTTTTTTCATAGATTTTCAGCAGAAAACAGCTGAACTGTCATATTCTCTTTGACCCAGGCTGAAAAGTTTTACACAGGGTTTCTGACTTGGCTTGTTACTGGAGATTTTTGTCACTGTTAAAACAGGGAACTGAAGTGCAGCGAGACAAATGTTCTTGCTGCATTATATTACACTTATATGAGACACTTAGACGTCCTCTTTAGACGTCTTAGTGTCTCATATAAGTGTAATATAATGCACCAAGAACATTTGTCTCGTCATTTGTCATTTGTCTTTCCTGCTAAAGAGGACGTCATTAGACGTCCTCTTTAGCAGGAAAGACTTCAGATGACTCCTTTGCTCCTATATAAAAGTCAGTACACCATAAAAACAGTATTAAATATCTAATACAGAGTCAAACTGAATTAAATTCAGTTTTGCAAGAGGCACTTTAAAATTTAAACTCTTATTTAATACTGCTGTCTTTAATATGTATTTTCATCTGCCACCATAGGAGTCCTAGAATAGTCCTATAATTCTGGATTCTTGTGCTACAGCTTCTTTTTTTTATAGATCTTTAACCATGTTTTTTCTGATTCTCTTCCAGCCTGAAACAACATCAGCAATGAAGAATAATGATGGATGAAGCTCTGAAGAACAAAAGGAAATGGATGTTCCTGATAGAACTTTTGGAGCCGCACAGACATTTAAAAGGGCACCTGGGACAGGGCATTTATTTATTTGTCCTTGAGCTTCTTAATATCCTGGAGGTTCCTCAACCGTTTTGTGCTTTATATTTCTATTCAAGGTCAACGGTTAAACCAACAGTCATAAGCTGGAAATACACACTGTCCTCCTCTGTGACTAAGTATGAACCTAAAGTAAATGGATGTCAGTTGATGTTACAGTGGTTATAACAATGACTATGACAGTCATCGCATAATTTAACAGCACCAGCCTGAAAAGACAGTCACACTACTTGAGTATTTTCTTGCATCCTCAAAGTCTTGTGTGCAATGATGATCTGTGATATGTTAACCCACTCTGCTCCTCAAACCTCTGAGCACTGCTTTGGTGGATCACTCAGGCATGCCAAGCTGGAAAAGGTACGAAGAAGAGGTTGTCAGTCATCTTAGTGACTTTGTCTCGTCAGGTAATTGGTCCTGCTTGTGCCTGAATGCTGCCAGTGATGAGTTGATTGGATTACCTTTATGGAAAAATTCATCTTGGCCTTGGTGTAGAGCTGCAGTGAGCATAGCAAGGACTTCACACAGGCCTCAGTGCTTTCTCTATAAACAACACCTATTAAAGCTTACCGACATCTACATGAGAAAACATTCCTACAGATTTCTGCTAGAAAGTTTCATTGCAGAGATTAGATATGGAACCACTGGCTATGCACAGCTCTGACGTATTACAAGACCTGTACAGATTCATCATTAGCAGCAAGTCTTTTCCTTTCTACTGGTGTTGAGACTGATTGCCCAAGTGGGTATATTGAATCAAATAAATTGTTGCTGTCATTTCAAAACCTTTTTTTAAGGCACCATTTGAAAATGTCAGCTTCCCTTTACAATGTGTGAACATTTTGTGAAGAACGGACCATTAGAAATTGTCCAAAATGACAAAGAGAATCTTATATTAAACATAAGTTTTTTTTGTTTGTTTGTTTCAGAAAGTTTAATTGAAGATAAGAACGTTTCTTGTCCTATGATTTTCTCATTTTGGAGATAAAAGGTTGTTTATGACAGAGTTGATGTCATTCATATGTACTTCCACAGTTATTTCTATTTCTGAGTGATGATGGCATTAATGTTTATATCTATGCCAAAAGAACTTCCTGTAAAACAGCTCAATGCCTTTCTGTCTGTTTTTTTTTTTTCCTTCAAATGGGACATGACTTTACAAGTTAGGTAATATTTATGCAATTAGATTATTAACAACTATGTCTGGGTTTTGTTTGTTTGTTTGTTTTTTGTTCGTTTTTTGGATTTTTTTAAATGATAAGGTTGAACGATGCAAAAAAAGTGTAAATGATCAGTTTCAGAAAAAAATGAAGCCCTTGATTGCTATGATAGGATGAGAGTAGACTTTAGATGCAGTTTGAACTGATTGCTGCTTTCTAAATAAGTTATGGTAGAGTTTAATCTCTTTGGCTGTAGTGAATTATATGTTTAAATAGCCATCAAATCCAAGGGAAACAACACTTTTTCATGGATTTGTGTATTCATGCCAGAGCCCTTTGATGTTTCAGTAAAGATGGTGGTTGCAAAACCACAAAGCAAACTCTTTTCAATGCTTGGCTGAAGATTTGAAAGCTGCCATTCACACTAAATGGAAAGCTTGGACAATTGTGAGCTGTAGCAGGGTTTAGGATTGAGAGAATGCCATTCAGAGAGCACGGCTTAACCGACTGCTTTCTACTGGCAGACAGTCCTTCAACAACATGGCACTGGGACAGAGGGCCTGACACTGGCAACATGAGGATGCTATCAACTTGGTTTTCATTAAGTTCCACCTAATCTAATGCTCAGAGTCTTTTGCTGTTCATATTGTTGTGATGTTCATCATATGGAATGCCATTTCAAACGAACACACACCAAACAAGTTGTGTATTTGGTAATGGTTACAGTGTGGTGTGGGTTAAAGGGGGTTTATTTATATGTCACAGAATATATTCTGTATATGAAATGCATAGGACACAGTACAGGTGCACTGAGAGGCTTATTTAAGTAAAAAATATGAGAAACAATAATGCAGGTGTTATTTTTTCTGAAAATAGAAATGGTGAGAATGTTATGATGTGTGCACATTTGTAAATACACTTGATATCTATTTTCTCTTTCAAACAAGAAATTTCTCTTTATTTTGTCTTTGTCTTTATTTTTCCTTTGCTAGATCTCTCAGCCATCAGCATCATTTTTATGTGTCTCTTTAAAATAAGTGCTGAAATTCATTTGTCAATTCATCAATGGCCAAATATGGGACATGACACAGATGGAATTTCAGTCTTGGTCTGAGCTACATGGTTTAGATGGTTGTGTTACTGTGTGCTATCCCTCCAAAGTAAAGCAGCAGGGTCAGCCTTTTAACATGTGTACAGTATCTTCTTCATCCAAGGCTCCATGCCCCTCTTATCCTGGTTTAAAAATCTTGCTTATGCTCAAAGGGTCAGTGACAGCTGTGTAAAGAACTGGAGATCAGAGATATCCCTGGGTGGATAAATATATCCTCACTTTGCTTTTTAAGGCTAACCTACTTGCTCAAAACATCGATCACTAAATCACTTTGTCTTGATCTCAGAAGTCAAACCACGTACCAGGATATTTAGCTGGGACTGCAGTGCACCTATTATCAATGCAGATAAAAAAAAAATCAAAAAGCAGAGTGGAGGCGTTCTGCAGCTTAAGAGGTGCTTGTTTGCTGAAGGAATGTTTTAGAAGTTCCATAAAATATACATCGATCAGTCATAACATTAAAACCACCTCCTTGTTTCTACAGTCATTGTCCATTATATCAGCTCCACTTACTCTATAGGTGCACTTTGTAATTCTACATTTACAGACTGTAGTCCATCTGTTTCTCTGCATACTTCGTTAGCCCCCTTTTACCCTGTTTTCAATGATCAGAACCACCACAGAGCAGGTACTATTTGGGTGGTGGATCATTCTCAGCACTGCAGTAACACTGACATGGTGGTGGTGTGCTAGGGTGTGTTGCGCTGGTACGAGTGGATCAGACACAGCAGTGCTGCTGGAGTTGGTAAACACCTCAGCGTCACTGCTGGACTGAGAATAGTCCACCAACCAAAAATATCCAGCCAACAGCGTCCTGTGGGCAGCGTCCTGTGACCACTGATGAAGGACTAAAGGATGACCAACACAAAATGTGCAGCAACAGATGAGCTATTGTCTCTGACTTTACATGTACAAGGTGGACCAACAAGGTAGGAGTGTCTAATAGAGTGGACAGTGAGAGCACAGTGTTTAAAAACTCCAGCAGCACTGATGTGTCTGATCCACTCATACCAGCACAACACACACTAACACACCACCACCACCACATCAGTGTCACTGCAGTGCTCAGAATGATGTACCATCTAAATAATACCTGCTCTATGGTGGTCCTGTGGGGGGTAAAAGGGGCTAACACGCTATGTAGAGCAGAGATGGACTAGCCCAGATCATGAAAAATACATTTTACACACTTTTTTGAAACAAGAGTATGAATTCTGTAGTATGTAACCATTGTTAAAGTTTCAAAACACACTCTCCAATCCATAAATGAAAACATGGCTGCAAAGTTTGTTTTGAATTCATTTTTGTGATGTCTTGAAAACTTACACATTAATGTATATTTACCTATTCAGCCTATAGCTGTTTAGACTCACTTATTCACATTGAAGTCATGAAGAGTGTTTTAGCCCAGAGGCAGTCCATACAGGGCAGCCTATAAGAACAGAGGTCAAATGGCACATGAACAAAAGCAGCCTATCTATATATAAAAGACCTGTTTCTCGCATTCTCCCTCTGCGTGACATGAGCAACGCGACTGAATAACTGGCACAGCACGCACACATTGGTCTTTCATGCATACTGCATATCCACTGCGATACTCTACAGCAAGCAAGTTTAACAAACATCCTTTTTTAAATGGAAAAATAGTCCAGTTATTTTATTCATTAAAAGAGTAATTAACAAAAGAGTGCAGCACATTTATTTATCCTCAACAGATTTCTAATTTGTGATTGGGCAATTGTGTCAAGCCTGGTAGACCTAATGTGTATTAATGTCTATTGAAAATCTATCTAAAGTTTTTATTCAACATTTGGCTTTATTTTCACAGATTTTCAGAGTTTATTTCATTGACTGTAGGAAAAAAAATTTCTATTTTCTATTGCTATTTTCTAGCTCTGAACTATAAACATGAGCACCAAAATGAAAAGCAAGACATTCCATGCTGCTCATACCACACAGAAGTAATGTGTGTGAAACAGGCCTGAGGGATACAGAAAGGTTGGAAAATGGTCATGTAAAATTTATTTGTGACCAATTTTGGTACATAAACCCACACAAATGTCAAAAGCTTAACCTCAGGTTTTAAAAAAAATCTTACAAAATGTAGAATATGGGCCTTTTTCTTTCCTGAGGTTTGCACAGAAACATGGAGCTGAAAAGTGCAGAGAAAGGACAGGCATTAGCTAGCTCACTCCAGGTCAAACACAGGGTCATTCTCTTCTACTGAGGACACGTCTTCAAAACATAAAATAAATGCAGATAATAAAGCATACTACCTTTTTTCCGTCTGTGCGCCAAGGCCTTGAATATCACTGCTTTTGTCCTGATCTCCACAGACCTACCCTTGGGTTATGTCTGCTTGCCTTTACTGATTTGCTTTCTTTTAAAATCAAATAACATGAGATTAAAAGCAGGGTCGAAAAACAACACTCTACCTACGTGAGCTGTTATTCTGCTGATTTAGAGGCACGTTTCTAATTTAATCTGTATATCGCCATTGTCTAAAGAAAAACAAGCATCTCCAAAAATCATAACTTCACAGGAGAGGGCTAGAACATTCTTTACTTTTAGTGTAAGTAAATGAAAAGGGATTTTGTTAGAAGCAATTTTGGAGCATTTCTATTGGTCCAATCATCATGGAATTTTGACACAATGCAAAGGTCAGCTGCTGTTTACATGGAAAACAAAAAATTGCAAAAGGAGATGTTTTTGGGGTTTTTCTTTTCCTTTGTTTTGTTTTTAGAGGGTGATGAAGACATACTCATTCTCCACTGGCAATCTAGACTCTGCATTAGAGAAATCAGGCCTCAGAGAGAACACAAATGACATCTGATTTATGTTTGAAATTTGCTATAGTGTAATACAATAAGCCAGAACAAATACTCTGTTTCTGCTAAGTGCCATTTTTGGACATCTGCATATTATGTAATTGTGTCTTGATGGATTCTTGTTTAAACAGCACCAGGAGATCATAATAAATCATTTAATGGGTCACTGACCATAAAAAAGGTCTTTCATAAACTCTCTCAGACCATCTGGTCATGTTTGCAAAATTGTTACAAAAATAATAAACAAACAAGCAGTTTGACTCTAAAGTCTATGTCCATGTGTCATTTCTATATATATTTTACTATGCAGCTATATAGAAAAAAGGGACTAAAATGTGGCAATTATTACTCATGAATATGATCAAACACAAACTAAACTGTTTACTCATTTATTTTCAGTTTTTCACAGAGGTGGAATGATCTGAAGGGCAAATCTTGCACGTTGCTCTATACACAAATCTATAGTAACTATTTAACCAAGTTGGTTTGATCTGTTTGAAATACTTTAAAAAGAGACATGTAAGTAGAATTTGTCAGATTATCTGACTGTAGCAGATCAATAATAAAGATGCCACAGAATGCATTTATTCAGCACTTGTTTTCTGATGTCTACATAGAAGATGTGACCTTGGTCAGGATAAAAAAATGCCCAGATATTGTTTTACACCCCAATTTATAACCCTATGATTTGGCCTTAGAATGAAACAAGCCGGCACCATGATGGCTCACAAGAAGCAACATGTCCATATGGACACATTCAGGAAAATAAAATGAACCCCCGTGTAAATAAGCTAGGTCATCATAATAATTAGTTAGCTATGCAAGTTACTTGGAGCTCAGTAGTAACTAACATTACCTATACTAGTTACTTGCTTTCGATCTCGACAACAACAAAGTAAATTACAGTTGTTCGATCACTATGACACTCAACTTTTTTCAAGTCAAAAAGTGGATAAAATCACACAGCATGGCTTCTACTTACAGGTTGCTTGGGGTTTGTGCTTGATACTGTCCAAGTTTGAGAAACTGTCTGGATCACTCCGGTGTGCAGAAAAAGCTAAAAACTTTGACTTTTTGTGTGGGATCCTGTTAAAGATGTGGGAGCTGAATTTGTCTTCTTTGCCAGCTTGTTTTGCAAATTTTCCATTCCACCTTAATTGGTGCCGCAGTTATATTTGGGTGCCTGTACAAGCTGTAGCATTTAAGGCGGAACAAAACATTCCTTTAAGAAGTTTGCAAAGATGAATGTCAACCATCCCCATTGACCGTCTGGTTGCTTACTGACATCCCCTTCACAGCCTGGAATGGAACATTTCTGCACATAGTCTGCCATTTTCATTGCTGTTGCTCTGTTGTTGCCATTTTGTTCTTCACAATACCTGCTGAGCTAAAACGTGGGCTCATGTATGTTAATTTTGGGGGCATAAATACAGAGTCAAGACTGTTGTAACAGGTCAGTATTTTGGAATTGGCCTGTTTTACTGCCCTCTTTACAAATACAGGATTTTCATTTTAAGGAGAAGTCAACAGTGTTTGAGGCTGATGGTAAGTCAATTTCATGCACTAAACTCCCCTTATTCAACTATGCCAATGTAAATACAGGTATCCATTCTATGGCACCTTAAAGATGGGATATTTTATTACAAATACTGATACCTGGACAGAGTGTGATGTTTTCTTCTCATTTCTGAATACAAAAAAAAATGTAAAATTGGTTTTAAACATTTGTTGTTATTGCTGTCATCAGTGATATGTGAATTTGGTACTTACTCTTTTAATAAAGTAGCTATGCATGTTACTTAAGTTTATGCAGAAGGTTTCATTTCATTAAGTCATCAAAGGTAAGATAAATAGTCCCTAAACATTTTACATGCAAGCCATGGCAATATGTTTTAGCACAAAATGCTTTACAGTTTAGAATGTTAACTTTTCTAGTATTGTTTTTTATCAATTGTGCTGTGTAATACCCCTGAACAGGTTACATTTTGTTGCATTTCTAAAAGAACATGCATCCTCTACAC